CTTGCTGAAACAAATGTGGTTTCAACGACCGCGACATAATGTTAGAAAATCCTTGGTGTGTCCGAAAACTCCGTCAACCTAGACGATCTGACAGATATGGCGGATAAAATGACGGAAGTTTATCATGACAGCCACTAAATTAATGAAGTGCAACCACTGAGAACAGTAGACACCAGTTGTTTAGTCTTGTAGTGGTAAATAATTCCCCAAAATCAAATAGCTCTGTAAGTTTTCGACATTGGATGCTGACAACAGTTTTAGTGGACTCATCTAGCTGAAGGCGCTCGGTCAAGCATCCGCACCAGATCACGTGTGGGAACGCCGTGCTCAACATCTGCCGCAATCGCTAGCCTGATTAAAGCAAACGATCCTCGATATATTGATAGTTTATCAAATATATCTTCGATCTCCTCACTTCTGTCTTTTGATTTTACTTGGTGGGTGCGCTTCGTATTAGAAGGTGTTACTGGTTAAAGCGTTGTCAAACTCCGAATACCTGTGGCATCTTCATTGGTGAGCCCGACGTGATCTGGTACACCATATTGTAAACTGTGAGTCTGTTCCTTTTTTTGATTTTATATATCATTGTCTTATTTTAATCTTTTTTAACATTGTGAAATTTTTTCCCCCGTGTTTTTGGGTTTATATACATATTTCCCACTCGTTAACTTTTCGTACTTGATATATTACTATGACTGAACAGACCCCTAAAGTATTTAAGTTAAAGACTGTGTCCCCACCCTCTTTCCAACTTATGCCTTTCTGGCCAGACAACATCGAAGCCTGGTTTTGTTACGCAGAAGCCGACTTCTTCGAGCACCGTGTGAACGATGCGCGTACACAATTCTTCGCAGTAGTCAAGGCACTACCGCGCGAATTTAACAGGTACGAAACACCTAGTTTGTTTACTAGTGATGTTTCTGATCCATACCAAACCTTGAAACATGCCATCCTTAAACGCGGAGATCTAACCGATCGACAAAGGTTAGACCAACTCCTCAGCAACATCGACCTGCAACACGGTTCTGCCACAGACATGTTGCAAAGAATGCGAGAAGTCATTGGCCAAAGAACCTTCGATGACGGCCTATTCAAACAACTTTTCTTATCCAAACTTCCTCAACAGGTGCAAGCTGTTTTGGTCTCGTTTCAAAACAACGCCGTAGACGAGATAGACGGATAATCCTGATTGGTGCTGGTACCATAACCAGTACGGAAAGTCCGCCAGAAATGGCAGAAAACCCTGCAATTTTCCCAACGCAAAATCCGTCGACGCGAAGAATGTTTCGGGAAACTTCTAAGCCGGCAAGCGTTAACGGCGACCGTAGCCGGCGAACATAGCCGTCTGTTATATGTCACTGATGTGATTACGAGAGTTCGCTACCTCGTAGATACTGGCGCAGAGGTTAGCGTTCTCCGAGCGAATTCCAACGACCGACTACACGAGCCCGTTTTAAATCTACAGGCGGCAAACGGAAAGCCTATCGCTACTTATGGCCAAAGGTATGTTTATCTTAACGTGGGTTTACGCAAACCCATTCACTGGATTTTTGTTGTTGCAGATGTTTCTATGCCAATCATTGGTATGGACCTTCTACAACACCACAACTTAATTATCGATACGCGCAAACGGAGGTTAGTAGACGGAAACACTAATTTATCTGTTTGCCCGACTTCTTTTTCTGGTTGCAGGTTATCTCCAGTCACTATTAAGCACGCTATAGACCCCTTCTACCAACCACTACTCGATAAATATTCTGGCATTTACCAATCGCAACCGAAATTGCCGTGTGTAACCAGCAGTGTTACACATCACATCACGACTACAGGACCACCTGTCTTCTCGAAAGCACACCGACTGGACCCCGAAAAGTTAAGGTTGGCGAAAAACGAATTCGACCATGTGATAAACTTAGGAATCATACGACCGTCAAATAGCCCATGGGCATCTCCGTTGCACATGGTCCCTAAAAAGGACAGCAACGATTGGCGTCCAACTGGTGACTACCGGAGATTGAATGCAAAAACCATTCCTGATCGTTACTCGTTGCCCCACATTCACGATTTGACAGCTACCTTGAAAGGTGCAACTGTCTTTTCAAAAATCGACTTGGTAAAAGCTTATAACCAAATTCCTATGGCCACTGAAGACATTCCTAAAACGGCTATTATAACGCCCTTCGGACTCTATGAATTTTTGCGAATGCCTTTCGGTCTGAGAAACGCGGCACAGACTTTCCAAAGGTTCATAGATGACGTTTTTCGAGGTCTCAACTTCGTACATGCATACGTTGATGACTGTCTAATAGCAAGTCCGGACAGATAATCACATCTCCAGCATCTAGACATTGTTTTCGACCGACTACAAAAGCATGGCATTACCGTAAACATTCAGAAATGCCAAATCGGAACCGAATCCTTAGACTTCTTAGGACACACCATAGATGCGCATGGCATTCGACCCCTTAGAACAAAAGTGGCGGCCATTCTGGATTACCCAGAACCGACCACCATCAAGCAATTGCGCACGTTTAACGGTCTGGTAAGTTTTTATAGACGATTCACACCGAAATGCGCGTCACTTATGAAACCCCTTACCGACCAACTTCGTGGAAATGCGAAATCCATTAATCTAGATGACACTACCCGAAAAGCATTCTCCACGGTTAAGGAACATATCGCCCGAGCAGCAATGCTTGCTCATCAGGACCCTAAAGCGCCCATTAGCTTCGCAGTAGACGCATCAGACTCAGCAATCGGAGCAGTCTTACAACAATGGGTTAACCACTTCTGGCAACCTTTGGCATTTTTCTCTAGACGGTTGCTAGACACTGAATCGAGGTACAGCACATTCGGTAGGGAACTCCTAGCTATGTATTGTGCTGTCCGGCATTTTCAACACTACATCGAAGGCCGTGAATTTACCATTTTTACGGACCATAAACCACTTACTTTCTCCTTAAGCTCTTCTTCGGACAAGTACTCACGACGTGAGTCACGACAACTGGACTACATTTCGCAGTTTACTTCAGATATTCGACACATTTCTGGAGAAAACAATGTAGTTGCAGACGCCTTGTCTCGTATAAATTCCTTGAACAGTTCCCAAGGAATCGATTTTTTAAAACTCGCTCGACTTCAAAAAGAAGACACTGATCTTCAGCAAGAGTTGGCCTCGACAACACTTAAACTGCTCATTAAACAGATGGGAACAGGTAAGGAAACCTTACTTTGTGACAGGTAGGGATCGCCCAATCGTGCCGAAGCAATATCGACGCAACGTCTTCGATACGTTGCACAGACTTTCTCATCCAGGTGTTCGTGCAACCATCAAGCTTATAGCAGAACGGTTTTGCTGGCCTGGTATGAATAAAGACGTGAGGGAGTGGGCACGCTCCTGTGTAAGCTGCCAGAAATCTAGGGTTATTAGGCATAACAAATGTCCCTTAGGCTCGTTTAAAACTCCCGATGCTCGCTTCGACCATGTTCATTTGGATTTGGTAGGACCTTTACCAGATTCAAATGGATATTCTTATCTTTTAACATGCGTAGATCGTTTTACTCGATGGCCAGAAGCAGTACCCATCAAAGATATTACTGCTGAAATAGTGGCCCGCGCCTTCGTCGAGAGGTGGGTAGCAAACTTCGGCTGCCCAACAACCATTACTACAGATCGTGGACGTCAGTTTGAATCTGAACTGTTCCGTTGTCTGACCATGAAACTAGGAATCACTCGCTTCCGAATGACGGCCTACCACCCACAAGCAAACGGGTTAGTAGAACGTTTTCACCGACAACTAAAAGCGTCACTATCAGCCTCAAACATTTCTCAGTGGGCTGACGCTCTTCCACTAGTCTTACTAGGCATACGCAATGCAGTGAAATCTGACATTGGATACACTGCATCTCAACTCGTTTATGGTACGACCCTTCGACCTCCAGGAGAGTTCGTGGATCCTTCATCCTCTTCGATGGACATGGATCTAACCTCCTACGCGAACAAGCTTACAAACGCAATGCGTTCAGTTAAACCTGTTTCCACTCGACCACAATCAACTGATGTTTTCGTTCAACCTGACTTACTACATAGTACACACGTTTTCGTGCGTCGAGACTCGCATCGACGACCTCTCGAATCAACAGATGAAGGACCTTTCAAAGTTCTTCAACGCAAATCTAAGTACTATACAATCGATAAGAACGGAACCAACGAAAGCATCAGCATCTTCAAGGGCAGCTACTCGTGCAATTCCAGAACTCCGAAGTTTACCATCCAAAGAGCGGATTGAAAAGCCAAACCTCTTTACTCTGCACTACTTCAAATTATGAGGTGTTCTCATTCTGATGTATAGGATAATAAGAGATGATTTTAGATCCAGTATATTGACTCGTTTACTTCCTAATAGTTCTGTACATCTCAAAGGACATAGCAGGAGAGCAGTAAAGCCAAGAACGAACAAAATAACCGTGACATACAGGTTTCACACCGATTCATTAATTATAGGGACCTGTTACCCTAAACAGTGATGTCCACACCTTCACATAGCGCATTCAAGAGAAGACTAGACATTCAAAGATGCACACTAGAAAAGGAATAACAAAAGCTGGTGACTTTCTGTTCTTACTAAATAAATCAGAATCTAAAGTTGGAAATTCACCATAGCATGTTGAAATATGCTGATACTAAAGTCAAAACCTTCCATTCTTTATCGTATGAAAGTATCCGAAAGAAGCCATCGAGAGGCATTAGCTGCCGAAATGGTGTGTTATAAAAGATTCAGCACAAGCTCACATAATAATTTACCAATATCACGTCACCTGGACCCAAACAATTGGGCACCTACCTTGAGGCGTTGATGAATCGTCGTTATTCAATATTGAGAATAATTGACCAAAACCTAATTTGTGTGACATAAGTCCAGTTGTCTCCAAGTTTATAGATTGAATTGGATATTGAAAACACTTAACTGAGCAGATAGTAACTTTGAGACATTTAAATATTTTTTCTGTTTTCGTTCAAATATGCATCGCAGGTTTTCACTTCGAACCCCTTAATACTTGTTCTATTTAGCTTTTCAGTAGAAGAAAATAATGACTACAAAAGAATTATTTCTATTAGTGATCATGATGAAGAAAAACCTGTCATTGTACCGCAAACATTACTTAACGACTCTAATATTTTAGATGTTGAAAAGTGTGATAAAAGTTTGTTAGCAGTTTATATTATAACTCAATTACTCTAGCAGATAATGTCAGTCATATAATGGATGCTTTAAGATGTGCACTTGTTGGTTTCGAGTTAGTTGTGACTTTACTCATTTTCTCTGCTTTTAGAAGGCATATACAAGCAGAAAACAATTGCACAAATGATATTAGGAATCTATGCAATGAAGCCAAATCGTTGCAAGCAAAATTAAAAGACAAGAAAAGTTTGATAATAAGTCATTTTCAGAATGTTGTTTCGAATCTTGCTGAGGAAAAGTGAAATGACAGTTGAATTAACTACGAGTCAACCTCATATTTTAATTTTTTCGAAAAATAAATCCAAGTTATGAATATTTTTTAACCAGAACTTTGTGGCCAGAAAAATTTCTCATCAAAAGACTGTCAAGCTATAACATGGCAGAAATCTACATTACCAATTGTAAGCATCAATGTGCAAACAGAAACGTTATTTATGACTAAAATCAAGAGCACAACATTTGTGTCACATTCTTCTGTGAGGCGATAACATTTTAGTTCAGTTTTAGGGCCTAGTACAAAAAGTCCGTGAAAAATTAACTGATTCGATCACACCGTTAAGAGAATATCATTTGAAGTTTGGAATTCTGAATGAGCTGTACTCGAGACCACTGAAAAGAACTCAAGTTGCAGAATCATTACGTGTACAGTGGGAATTTGTATTATAAAAATGGCTTGCTGAGGTCAAGTTAATTTACTCGCTCGTGAAATTATGAGTGTAAAAACTTGTAGTTTAATGACAGTTACTTGTTCTACTTATTCTTTGTACTAATCAACGCTAAGACTCACGCTTGCGCATCTCCACAGCAGTACTTAAAATTCCGTGTTTTTACATGAGTCGAATATTATACAACTAAAATTTATTTGATGCTCCAAATAACTAGAGGTGAAACACAACAGTGAAAATGGAATATGACGCTAGATAGTTTATTGAGTAATACACAAAACTATTTTTCCTTTCTAATTCTAACCTGTGGATCATAATTATTTAGATACTCGTTATTTCCATCATACAAAAACAGATTGTGCACTTCCCTATACATTAAATCTCTTTGCCCAAAGTTTTCTAGTTAAGCATTAGTTTCAATTCCATGGCAAAGAACACGTATGTGGTTACACAGTTTAAGAATCTGCTTATAGCTGAAATATAGAAGGTCACAGTCAAAGACGAAGATTGTGTATAGATCTAGAGACACATATAAGACCGAAGATAATTGTAGTTTAATTTCATTTTCATTTATCATACCACTGGTGCCTGATCATTTTGAAGGGTTCACAGTCTGAGACATATTTGTAAAATACAATGAAAATTTCTGCCAGCAAACTGCAACGAGAAATATCAGCTACTTGAGACTGATAAATTATATACAAATATTTATTCGGTGGATGTAAACATTAGATAATATTTGGGCTGTTTGTTATGTACTAGCTCATACCTTGTAGGCATACTAGAGATAAAAAAGATAAGTGTGTCATTTTCTGAAATACATTGTATATACCTTGAAAAACGAATAATTTTTTCCATGAATGAATTGTACATATTAAAAACCGTGCCTTTAATGACAATAGTTAAATGTTTCTCCTAACAGTGTTATTTTCAGAAATAAAGTAGTTAGAAAATATCCATCTTCTTAGAAATAAATTGAAGAAGAAATGGCAAGACCGGTAATGTTAAACGATTTAAATACATAACGAAAAATAGATCGGCCCAAAAAGTTAATAGAAGGAAGTTTGTCATGAATGTAGACCAGTTCTCGTTCCATTTTCATCAGAACCATAACTTGTTGGTTTATGTGATTGGTGAACACGACATAAATTTGGGGTTATTGTTTCAAAACTATGAAAAATAAGAAATATTCTATGATTAAATAGTGAGTTCGTTTGAAACAATAGTTTTAAACTTGATAATAGAAATTCAGTAAATTAACGTAACTATGGACGAGTAAATTAGCCTTAAAATCGAATAAGTCTAAGTGTAGTTACATTGAAAGAAATGCCGTGTGAATTCGCACGAATTTCGTGTGCCTATAGGGCAGCAAGTAACTAAATCTTAAAAAATTGGTTACATGTCTAACAAACACTTTGTCTTTTTTTAAAAAGATGAGGACATTAATCATTTTGGGGATCAGTAGAACGCCAAAGAAATAACGCGTACTTATCATCTTTAAATTTCCAGGCTAAACGATCTATACTTACTGTGTCACAACAGATAAACTTGTAAAATGGTGCGCTAATTGGAAAAATAGTAAAATACTATTCCTTCCAAATGCAGAAAATGAAGGAAAATTTTAGGTTCTTGGCGAAAGTTGTCACGATATACTGTAAATATAAATTCAATTTACACTTATTGTGTCTACCATAACAGTGATTTTATTTTTAACAATTTATACTGAAAACAATAAACTTACTAAATTTCTCTTATCCCTCTCACAACGAAATAAGAAAAAATTATCATTGCTGCCAGGACAGCATAAAACCAGAAATTGGTGACATTGTCAGCTGAAAGATATGAATACCACGTACATAATATTAATAAATAGGGTTATATAAAGTCTATTATCATTTCCTAAGATAAACTAACAAATTATATACCCTAAAACGACATGATATGAAACTGAAAACATAATCTTCCTCATAAAAGTGCAGTTTCTAATGAATAAATCTTCATAGAGTGATATTATTTGGTACACAAATGAGCTAAGAATCTGGTTCCAAAAATTACAATATATAATTTTCCCTAAATTGTGCTGATTTGAACTCCATATACAAGATAGGAATATATTGATTATTTGATTATATTCAATATCATGTTGTTTATTTTCTATTTCTGACCAAACTTCATTTACTAAGTTTCCAGACTAGTTACTAATTCGATTCACTTGAATACTATTACAAGCATGGAAATCCTGATTCTATCCGAAATTCAAAATTTTGTTCAGTAATACTAAAGTTAATGATGTTACAATCACGCTTATCAACTTAAGTTAAAATTGATGAAATATTCTACATATCCTAAACTGTAAGTAGAACCACACAAAATAATCAAGAATGAAGATGCTAAAATAGACAGAAAGTCACAAAGCAGAATGGATATTAGTTGAAGTGGGTACTCTTGAATTAAGTGAAATTAAAAGTAAATATCAATAAAGAGACAATACAATTAAAAACGGTAGGTAAGGACAAGTAAATAAAATGTTCAAAACTAAGAAAAACACAATAGCTTGCGTGCAGCAGTATGACTGATTACAAGTGATACAATTTAGCCATTCGGTTAACATTAAATAGATTTATCGATCTGACTACCTTCAGCGTTTGCCAAGCTACAATTGATCAGTCAGCTGCAACGTAGGACCAGACACGTATATGCATCGGCCCAAGTTGCCATACCGCATTAGCACAACAAGATGAACACCGGATTCATAGGAGTAGTTAATTCAGTGGTGGTAATATATAGAAGAAAGATTGTGTATAAGGAGATAGTAAAGGAAGAAAGAATTAGTTCCTAGAAAGATATGAAGCGATTTTAATCTCTTAATTTAAGGAAGACAGAGAGTGTATACACCGACGCCATTGTGATCGATTCTGAGCCATGTCACCAAGAGTCTCCAACCATTGGTTACGATAGTCACGCGGACCCCAACCAGGCAGTCTGAATCTCCCAACATGACTCAGACCAGAAGTTAGTGACTTCAAGCACTGATGCCACGTTTTGGTTTGGCCGCCCCTAACTTTCTTCCAATTGTCCCCTGCACAAGTCAGCATTGCGCGTCGTGGTAATCGGTGTTCAGGCATACGAAACACGTGGCCCAACCATCTCAGTCGATGAAGATTCATAACCTCATCAACTGATTTACCATCATTCCCTAATACCCTGCGTCTAACCTCACTATTACTTACCCGGTGATCCCAGCAGATACCCGCAATATTTCTAAGGCACCTGTGGTCAAATACTAGTAACTTACGAATATCTTCCACTCTTAAAGGCCATGTTTCGCAGCCGTATAGAAGGACGGAACGAACTGTCGCGCAGTATACTCGTCCCTTAATTGATAGACGGATATCTCGCCTTCGCCATAGATGACGTAAGTTGGCAAGGACCAAGCGAGCTTTTCAAATCCGTGCTGAGATTTCGTCACACACCAACCCATTAGGGCTGAGCAGACTTCCAAGATAAGTGAAGTTGTCAACGCGTTCGACAACTTCACTCCCTATTCTTAGTTCAGGTGTTGATGCAGACCAGTCCTGAAGCAACAACTTGCATTTAGAGGGAGAAAAGCGCATCCCAAACATTCGGGCATTGTTGCTCAGTACTAACAAAAGACTCTGCATTTCGTCAGCGTCTTTACCAAACAGGACTATGTCATCTGCGTATTCCAAGTCAATAAGTGGACCTCCTGGTAGGAGATCAATACCCGAGAAGTCAGTCGATGAGAGCGTTATTTCCATCAGGATGTCTATGATAAAGTTGAACAAAAAAGGAGAAAGTGGACAGCCTTGACGGACGCCACTTGAGGTTGCAAAAGCAGATGACCGTTCGCCATAGGCTCTGACCCGACTAGTAGTGTTCGAGTAAAGAGCTTTCACAAGGTTTATGTACTTCTGAGGTACGCCTTTCAATGACAGACACTGCCACAGAACCTCTCGGTCAACAGAGTCAAACGCTGCTTTTAAGTCAAGGAATACCACCATTGTCGGACGCCGATAAGTATGCCTGTGTTCTAGAACCTGACGAATGGTGAATATGTGGTCGATGCAGCCACGACCAGGTCTGAAGCCAGCCTGGTTTTCACGTGTTTGCAGCTCACGAGTTTTAGTTAGGCGTCCGAAAATTATCGAAGCTAGTATTTTAGATACTATATTAGTCAAACTAATCCCTCTGTGGTTGTCACAGGATGATTTTGACCCTTTCTTAAATATTGGGACGATAAGTGATTGTGACCAGGTAGATGGAATAACGTCTAACTCCCAGATTTTAGCTAAAATATTAGTCAACCTAATCGCTAAGACTAGACCACCATCCTTAAAGACCTCTGGGGCCAATCCGTCTGGACCAGCTGCCCTTCCTCGTTTCAGATTAGCTATAGCCTTTTGAACTTCAGCTAGAGTTGGAGGACCTACTTCAATGTTCCATTCACACTGTCTGGGAATAGAGGGTAGTTGTAGAGTAGCTGAAGGCCAGCTAAACTGCTCCTTAAAGTGTTCCGCCCATCGTTCTAAGCGTCTGGACTGGGAGCAGATGAGAGTGTCGTCTTTTTCCGAAATGGTCTGACTTACACTTGATTTATTAATTCCAGTTTCTTTTATTAGTCTGTAGAGTTGTCTTGTATTCCCTATAGCCGCTGCCTTTTCCATCTCTTTTGCTTTCGTTGCCCACCACTGCTCACGATCATTCTTTAGACTTTTGCTTAATCTAGATCTGATTTCTTTACGCTCTTCATCGTATTCAGAACCTGATGGGATGAGTTTGCGAGAATCTATCAGTGCAATAGACCTTGACGAAATCCATTGGTTCTGTGTAACCCTGTGGTTTAACTCACTGGTAGATGTCAATGCTGTTTCCACAGCTGCTTGTATAACTTTCCAAGCAACATCTGGGTCAGTCTCGTTTTCAGAACTACCTAAGTGTGACCTCAGTTGTTCTTGGAACCTACTTTT